GGGCTAACCAGGAATTTTTATAAATGGAGGTGTCAGTGAACATTTGGGATTGTCCTTAAGCCAGTGTTTTGCAACTGGGGACCCTTAAGTGGTTCCGTCGATACAAACCTGTTCTTGGTTTGTTAGTGCCTTCAAGGATCAGCAATCTTGGTCATTGCTGTTATTGTTATTATATTTCTGTTCAAACGAATGTTTATATGTTATTTATTTCCTAATAAATGACCGCTATGGCCAGTTTTCACTCCAAAGAGTGTCTGTCTGATCTTTTTAGCATAATTGTCAGGTGAAGTTTATGGGGGGCCTAGTGGTCTGAGGTGGCAAGGAGCATACAACCTCTGTTCTGCCTTTTTCATGTATCTCACTGGTTTTGTTTTGCACTTCACACGTTCCCCATTGTATTTTACACCTAATACCCAGCTCTGTTCCTCTTTACCTTTATTTTAGGTGTTCCCTCCCACCTGTGTGTGCTCCAGCTCCTCCTATTACATTCTTCATGATATAATGTAGATAGACAAATCCAACAGTTAGATTGGGAACTCCATGACAGCTGCTGGTCTCATTCCAGCATCCTGATTTTGGTTGTGATGCATTATTTCTGTCTGCCTGTCCACCTGCAAGGTGATTGATGTAGCCAGTCTCTGGGTGGAGACCAAACCTGCCAAGCCTGCAGTCTCAAACTTGTGATAGTGTGTTTAACACGCGCTTCAAGCTCCCTATTTGATATGCCCCGGTATGCTGTTTGGGTTCCCCTGTTTATGACTTTGGATTGGAACTCGGACTGTTCTCTGAACTCTGCCAGCCTTTTGACTACAGATTTGACCCTGACTACTCTGAACCTTGCCTGCCTTGTAGCTTGACTGTCTTTGAACCTGCCTGTTTGCCAACCGCAAGTACCTGTTCACTGTGCTCAGTTAGCGTCTGCCCCGGCATGGTAGCCAGGCACTATAGCATTGTATATAAGACCTGGGGGCAACAGAGTAACGGTAGGCCTGCTTGCCTTATGAGAAAAGGGGCTGCTTTAGGTGAAGAACACAGAAGCCAGCTTTAGGACCTGAGGACCTGCGCTAGGGGTAAGTGTGACATTCTCATTATAGTCAAAGCATTGTGTAGACCCCGAAACTAAAGCATGCTCAAGCAATATAGTCCCCAAGAGAAAATGTGAAGTAAATGTAAATGTGGTTGGGTTGTGGTGGTGCTTAGGTGTCAACTAGGTTTTTGACCTACACGGGATCATGGTTACAAGATTTGTATCTGTTATGGAGAAAACCAACTTTTTTGTTTTGGCAGAAATTAATAAACTCTGTACTTGGTCCTACAGCCTAGAGGCTTTGCAGGGCTTTGAGTGGGATGAAGCCTCCATTTCTAGGTCCACATCTTGCCTGGAAACCAAACCTTATTATTAGTCTCAGCTGTCCACTGGCCTTTATATGAGGGCTGTACCCAAAGTAATGCAAAGGTGGGCATACATTTTTTTATTACTGTAGGCAGATTAAATTTCACATGTTGGTAGAGTAGCTCTTCTACTATAGCACTGTTCTTTTTATTTTTTATTGCTGGTAAATAATGGATTCCAAGCGGTAACGTGCTGTCATTACGTTCTTAACAAAGGAGTAGTACAAACTGTTGGGCATCCACAGATGGATACACAATGTCTACGGAGATGACACCATTGATAAAAGCAATGTCTTATCATTGGTGACTCTTGTCAGTTGTGTCATCTCCAGGGGCAGACTGACAACTCATGGGGCCCCCGGGCAATAGGGGATCATGGGGCCCCTGTGTCCTTGCTCAAACTCAAAAAAGCCTATGAAAAAGGTACCAGGGGCATCTCATGGGGACTACTGACCCTGGGCCCTCGGGCAGTGCCCGAGTTTCCAAATGGTCAGTCCACCCCTGGTCATCTCTGTAAACATTCTGTAGCCTTCCGTGGATGTTGGACAGCCTGCAGCCCTCCTTTGTCAAGAACTCAATGAAGGCATATTAATTCTGCTTGGAATCCATTATTTACCTGCAATGAAAAAGAGGAACTCTACCAGCGTGTGAAATTTGAACAACCTATATAAGTTAATAAAAACATTATGCCCACTTTTGCATTACTTTCAGTATATACTCACTGGCCACTTTATTAGGTCCACCTTGCTAGTACCGGGTTGGGACCCCTTTTGCCTTCAGAACTGCCCTAATTCTTCATGGCATAGATTCAACAAGGTGTTGGAATCGTTCCTTAGAGATTTTGGTCCATATTGACATGAGTTACTGTTGCCTTTCTATCATATCGAACCAGTCTGCCCATTCTTCTCTGCAAGGCAACAAGGCATTTTCCTCCACAACTGCAGCTCACTGAATATTTTCTCTTTTTCAGACCATTCTCTGTAAACCCTAGAGATTGTTGCATGTGAAAATCGGAGTAGATCAGCAGTTTTTGAAAAACTCAGACCAGCTTGTCTGGCACCAACAACCATGCTACGTTCAAAGTCATCTAAATCCCCTTTCTGATGCTCAGTTTGAACTTCAGCAAGTCGTCTTCACCATGGCTAGATGCCTAAATGCACTGAATTATTGCCATGTGATTGGCTGATTAGCAATTTGTGTTAACAAGCAATTGGACAGGTGTATCTAATAAAGTAGCTGGTGAGTGTGAGTTGAATACTGCTCAGGGATCTCTCCCTTTTTCTCTCCCATTTGTTTTTGGGGAACCAATTAGGAGGCACTATGTTAGCCAGGAACTGACCTACATTTATTAAGTGGCTTTGACAATTCAGATGTTCTGTTTGCTCGATGCTTTGGACTTGATCTACATGGCTACCGTGCATGGTTACCACTGCCAATGCCAGTTGAGTACATACTTACTACACTGCTCAAAAAAAATGAAAGGAATATTTTTAAATCAGAGTCTAGCATCAAGTTAATGAAACTCGGGGATATTGATCTGGTCAGGTAAGTAGCAGAGGGGGTTGTTCATCAGTTACAGCTGCTTTGAAATTAACAACAGGTGCACTAGATGGGCAACAATGAGATGACCCCCAAACAGGAATGGTTTTACAGGTGGAGGCCACTGACATTTTTTTCCCTACTCATCTTCTCTGACTGTTTTTCACTAGTTTTGTATTTGGCTAGGGTCAGGGTAGCATGAGGCCATACCTGGACCCTACAGATGTTGCACAGGCAGTCCAACTCCTCCAGGATGGCACATCAATACGTGCCATTGCCAGAAGGTTTGCTATGTCTCCCAGCACAGTCTCAAGAGCATGGAGGAGATTCCAAGAGACAGGCAGTTACTCTAGGAGAGCTGGACAGGGCCGTAGAAGGTCCTTAACCCATCAGTAGGACCGGTATCTGCTCCTTTATGCAAGGAAGAACAGGATGAGCACTGCCAGAGCTCTACAAAATGACCTCCAGCAGGCCACTGGTGTGAATGTCTCTGACCAGAAACAGACTTCATGAGGGTGGTCTGAGGGCCCAACGTCTTCTAGTGGGCCCTGTGCTCACTGCCCAGCACCATAGAGCTCGATTAGCATTTGCCATTGAACCCCAGAATCGTCAGGACCACCACTGGCGCCCTGTGCTTTTCACAGATGAGAGCAGGTTCACCCTGAGCACATGTGACAGACATGAAAGGGTCTGGAGATGCCGTGGAGAACGTTCTGCTGCCTGTAACATCATTCAGCATGACCGTTTTGGTGGTGGGTCAGTGATGGTCTGGGGAGGCATATCCATGGAGGGACGCACAGATCTCTACAGGCTAGACAATGGCACCCTGACTGCCATTAGGATGAAATCCTTGGACCCATTGTCAGACCCTACGCTGGTGCAGTGGGTCCTGGGTTCCTCCTGGTGCATGACAATGCAAGGCCTCATGTGGTGAGAGTATGCAGGCAGTTCCTGGAGGATGAAGGAATTGATACCATTGAGCTCACCTGACCTAAATCTGGGATATCATGTTTCGATCCATCCAATGCCGCCAGGTTGCACCTCAGACTGTCCAGGAGCTCAGTGATGCCCTGGTCCAGATCTGGGAGAAAATCCCCCAGGACACCATCCGTGTTCTCATTAGGAGCCTCCCCCGACGTTGTCAGGCATATATACAAGCACATGGGGGCCATACAAACTACTGAGGACCATTCTGAGTTGCTGCAATGACATTTTAGCAAAATGGACTCGCCTGCTGCATCATTTTTTCACTTTGATTTTCGGGGTGTGTTTGAATTCAGTCCTCTGTAGGTCGATCATTGTCATTTCCATCAAACAATGGGGCATCCTTACATTCCTAACACATCACCCCGTCCATATCAGTATAGAGATCCAGCAGGAGATTCTTCCCTATTGAGATCTGATGTGTTTTCAAAGGGTTGCTTGAATTTATTTTGAGCCGTGTATATATACAGTATAATGCTGATGAGTAATGACATATTATTTATGTAACAAAGAGAAACGCATGCACTCATTTTATTATGTATTCCATTATGCATGTACAAATTCAGTGTTTTCACTGTTAGAGAAAGGAAGAAGGACATATGACCTTTCCATATTAATGTGCTGGAAGAGATGTTTTCAGATGCTACAAAGCTCTTTTTGTTATACAGAAAACACATAATGACCAACAGTGGTAATGCTTTGAGGGAAAGCAAATTATTACAGGAGGTTGTGAATGCTAAGTGGGCCTATAATTAGCAATGAGCAGTAAGCCATGTACTAATGAACCCATGTGGCAGCGCATGTTACCGGCTTAACTCTTAATTCCTTGCACACAGGGACTAAAGTGGGTCAAGTCTACTAACTGCACAGTGTATCTAAGCTGGCATCTAAGCCTTTTAAGGGGATCCTGCATTACGTACACATTAAGGGTCTCTGTCACCAATGTAAAAAAAAAAGAAAAAGAAGAACTGTATTCTAAAAGCTTAGGTGATATTAAACCAGGGGTGTCAAACTCCATGTCATCGTCATGGGCCGTGTCGGCATTATGGTTGCCCTCAAAGGGCCGGTTGTGTCTGTAAGACTAGATGTTCAGAGCACCCCACTACCCCCATTACATCAGATTTCCTCCCTAACATCACCATGCACCGCCTTTGGGGGCAGAGCTGGAAAGCAGTGCAGGGTCTGGAGGAGTAGGCATCACCAGCAAGGCTCCCATCATCCATCCACTACAGATCTGCACCAGAGGCTGGTTAGTAGCTCGGAGGAAAGGGATTCGTCACCGAAACGCGTCAGCCACTTGATTGCACTGACAGTTGGAACACCTTGCTTGCCGTTGTGGCCATTGTCAAATGCTTTTTAGATACATGCTTCGTCTGTGAGTATGTTTTTATCTTTTATACCTTTTAATAAACCTTGGATAATGCACTAGGTGTGCGGGCCACCTGTTTATTCTCTATCTGGAGGAGGACCAGAGGAGGAGTGGAGTCAGTTACCAGAGTCTGCTGAATGCTGAGACCAGGGGAGTCAGAGATGAGGGGGTGCTGCACCATGCACCGCCTTTGGGGGCAGAGCTGGAAAGAAGAAAGTGCAAGGTCTGAAGGAGGACCAGAGGAGGAGTGGAGTCAGTTACCAGAGTCTGCTGAATGCTGAGACAAGGGGAGTTAGAGATGAGGGGGTTCTGCACCATGCACTGCCTTTGGGAGCAGGGCGGGAAAGCAGAAAGTGCAGGGTCTGAAGGAGGACCAGAGGAGGAGTGGAGTCAGTTACCAGAGTCTGCTGAATGCTGAGACCAGGGGAGGCAGAGATGAGGGGGTGCTGCAGCTGCACTGAGAGGTGCAGGATTTGGCAGAGGAGATCTAATCTCCTCTCTGCTGCCGACTGCTGAGACAAGGTGGGGGCAGAGACAAGGGGGTACCTGCAGGAGAGGTGCAAGGGCCACATGAATTGGCTTGGAGGGCCAGATTTGGCCCCTGGGCCTTGTGTTTGACACCTGTGTATTAAACCTTTGTAATTTTTTTTTCATTTAGAAAAGGAAAGCCTAAAAAAGTGTCCTGTTCCTTCAAAATGTTCCTTTCCACTTTCTTTAGCTGCTCCCCAGACTGCTGCACAGGAACATATGTACAACGAGGCAAACAAGGCAATTTTGGGGGGGGGGGGGGGGGGAGGACGGACCTGGTGAGGCACTGCCGAGGATCCGAGGAGGGTGTGTGTTGCTGGAGGGACAGGGATGGCCCGCTGCTCTTCTGTCATTCTGGAGAGGTAAGGTTAGTGAATCGGGAGGTGGTGGCCAGGGGAGGGGGTGATTATGGTTGCGGCAGTCAGTGGTGGCAGAGAGTGGTGGTGGGTGGTCTTGTTTCTGTGTTGCCTAAGGGTGGTGGCGGTGGTGGCAGAGAGTGGTGGTGGGTGGTCTTGTTTCTGTGTTGCCTAGGGGTGGTGGCGGTGGTGGCAGAGAGTGGTGGCGGGTGGTCTTGTTTCTGTGTTGCCTAGGGGTGTTGGGCGGTGGTGGCAGAGAGTGGTGGTGGGTGGTCTTGTTTCTGTGTTGCCTAGGGGTGGGTGGCGGTGGTGGCAGAGAGTGGAGGTGGGTGGTCTTGTTTCTGTGTTGCCTAGGGGTGGTGGCGGTGGTGGCAGAGAGTGGTGGCGGGTGGTCTTGTTTCTGTGTTGCCTAGGGGTGGTGGCGGTGGTGGCAGAGAGTGGTGGTGGGTGGTCTTGTTTCTGTGTTGCCTAGGGGTGGTGGCGGTGATAGCAGAGAGTGGTGGTGGGTGGTCTTGTTTTTGTGTTGCCTAGGGGTGGTGGCGGTGGTGGCAGAGAGTGGAGGTGGGTGGTCTTGTTTCTGTGTTGCCTAGGGGTGGTGGCGGTGGTGGCAGAGAGTGGAGGTGGGTGGTCTTGTTTCTGTGTTGCCTAGGGGTGGTGGCGGTGATAGCAGAGAGTGGTGGTGGGTGGTCTTGTTTCTGTGTTGCCTAGGGGGTGGTGGCGGTGGTGGCAGAGAGTGGTGGTAGGTGGTCTTGTTTCTGTGTTGCCTAGGGGTGGTGGCGGTGGTGGCAGAGAGTGGTGGTGGGTGGTCTTGTTTCTGTGTTGCCTAGGGGTGGTGGCGGTGGTGGCAGCCTATCACTCCCCTACCCAGCCTGAGACTCCTGGAGCCAGTGGGTGGTGAAGAGCAAAAAAAGTGCTTGGTAATTGGGGGAGGGGTTACCTTAATGCTGTGAATGCATTGGGGGAAAGGATCTAGTATTTAGTGTTTTTTTTCTTTTCTTTCAGTGTTTTTCCTTTCCATAAATTATTTTTTTTTTACTTTTACTAGAACATTTAATTTCTTCAGGGAGAGCCATTAGCACAGCCCCCTTCCTCTTTGAATATCAGAACCCTCTCCTCTTTTTGGGGTGTCAAATTACTCTGTGCTGGTCCAGCTGCCCCCTTCCTCCCATTGGCTCCCTCCATAACCAGCGCGTTTTTTCAGCTAGAAACGTGGGGAAAACCCTCAGCACTGAATGTATGTAATGAGAAAGGGAGCTGGGGTGTGCTGGAGGGTCTGTTGATGCAGGCGTCTGGGGGATCTAGTGTTGTTGGAGGGGACATATTTTTTCATGGGGTGTCTTTTGTTTCTAGGGAGTCATTTGTTGCTGGGAGAGATCTACTGTTGAGGGAGGGGTCTAGAGTTGCTGGCTGCTGGAAAATTTATTGCAGTTGGCTGCTGGGAAATCTGTTGTTGTTGCCAGGGGTTATTAATGTTGGGGTGGATCTATAGTTTCTAAATGGATCTACTGTTGAGGGAGGGTCTATTGTTGCTAGCTGCGCGAGGGTTTAGTAAAGTTGACTGCTGGGAAATCTGTTGTTGCTGCCAGGGGTTATTATTGTTGGAGTGGATCTATTGTTGCTGAGAAGGATCTACTGTTGTGGGAGGGGCCTGTTGTTGCTGGCTGCTGGAAGGTTTATTGCAGTTTGCTGCTGGGAAATCTTTTGCTGCTGCCAGGAATTATTATTATTGGGGTGCATATATTGTTGCTAAAGGGATCTGCTGTTGTGGGAGGGGTTTATTGTTGCTGGCTGCTGGGGGGTTTATTGAAGTTGTCTGCTGGACAATCTGTTGTTGCTGCCAGGGATTATTATTATTGGGGTGGATCTATTGTTGCTAAAGGGATCTACTGTTGAGGGAGGGGTCTATTGTTTCTGGTTGCCGGAGGGTTTATTACAGTTGGCTGTTGGGCAACCTATTGTTGCTGCCAGGGGTTATTAATGTTGGGGTAGATCTATTGTTTCTAAATGGATCTACTGTTGAGGGAGGGGTCTTTTGTTGCTGGCTGCTGGAGGGTTTAGTGCAGTTGTCTGCTGGGAAATATGTTTTTGATGCTGGGGGTTATTATTGTTGGAGTGAATCTATTGTTGATGGGAGGGATCTACTGTTGAGGGAGGGGTCTATTGTTGCTGGGAGGGATCTACTGTTGAGGGAGAGATCTGTTGATGCTGGCTGCTGGAGGGTTTGTTGCAGTTGGCTGCTGGGAAATCTGTTGTTGCTCCCAAGGATTATTATTGTTAGGGTGGGTCTATTGTTACTGGGGGGTTCTATTGTTACTGGGGGGGTTCTATTGTTGCTGTCTGCAGGGGATCTCTTTCACTGCTTTTCTTGTAATCGAGAAATTCCATACAAAGTACTTACCACCATAAAATAATACTTGGTTTTGTATTGGGCGGTGGGTAGGGGGTGGGACCAAGGGACAGCGCTTGGAGGTGGGTAGGGGGCGGAGACAAGGGGGGACTCAGAAGGTTTGAAAAAAAGTCCTGTCCATCAGCTTTTATGTAGATGCTGGGGGAGGAGGAGAGAAGGGGACACTATGGAGTGTCAGTTCTGAGCTTGCAGGGACTGGTGACATCACATACTAAGTGGCCGCACCCAGCAGCAGTCTCGGGGGTTTTGTCTACACCAGGGAAGATTTTACAGTTACATATCATGCAGGAAACACATTAAGGCTCGGTTCACACTTATGCAGATTGCGTTTGACCCATTTCTGCTTTGCGTTTTGTGTTTTTGATGCGTTTTGCTTTTTTTTTCTTGTTGCTAGGCAGATTTAAAACGCAAAATGCATCAAAAACGTTGCAAAAACGCACTACATGCGTTTCTGCAGTGTTTCCATTGAAGTCTATAGAACCAAAAATGCAACTTTTTGCGTTAAAAAAAGTCCCTGACTCTTTCCAAAAAAATGCACCTGGTGAAAACGCGGAGAATGTGTCCCATAAGAAATCATGTTAAATGGACTGTAGTGCGTTTCTGCAAAACGCTGCGGAAAACGCTTAGGTGTGAACCCGGGGTAGATGCACATTGCTGTACAATCTTCTGAGAAGATATTTGTTGCAATGAATGGTCGGGCGACAGGGTCTTTTTCACAATACGATCTGTAAAGAACACAATTGCAGCTTAATAGAGGTCCATTCCAATGTTGTTAGTCCATCTATGTGTTCTATGTAATGCTTGTATCACCTGTGTAGTTTATATTCTGGAGATACTATATTAACCACTTGTGGACCGTCCACCCACAATGTGCTGCAGATGGGCGACCTGTGCAGGTAAAGCAACGTGCGGGTATGTCGCTGCCTGTTACCAGGTTTAGGGCGCACGCATGAGTGCCCCCCCCTGTCAACACATACCCCTGTCAACACCCCCGGCCAATGATTCACAACTGGGATCTGCTTATTGGCTGCGTCCAACCACAGCCCAGAGCTCTGTGTTGACAATCAACACAGAGCTCTGTACAGAGGGAACCAGCTCTGTGTATCTCATCCCTGCAGGGATAAAAATTAAAAAAAAAAATCTATTATTAAAAGCAGCACATAATACATACATTACACATGGTTAGGCACACATTTAACCCCTTGCTCACCTTAGATGTTAATCCCTTTCCAGCCAGTGTCATTAGTACAGTCACAGTGCATTGTATTATCACTGATCACTGTATTAGTGTCACTGGTAGCTAGTCAGCTCCCACTCAGCATCAGTTAGTGACAGATTGCCCGCCGCACTATCACAGTCCCATTATAAAATCATAAGTTGCTGATCAACACCATTAGTAGTATTAAATAAAAATTTGTATATATACAGTTGCAAGAAAAAGTATGTGAACCCCTTGGGATTACGTAGAGTTTTGCATGAATCGGGCATAAAATGCGCTCTGAACGTCATCTAAGTCACAGCAATAGAAGAACACAGTCTGCTGAACATAATACTACACAAACATTAGATGTTGCCATGGTTTAATTGCTCATAACATGTAAAGATTCACAGTGCAGGGAGGAAAAAGTATGTGAGGCCCTAGCTTTTTTTATCAAATACATATATTTATTATTTATTTATTTCAGCACTTTACATATATATTGTACATTCACATCAGTCCCTAACCCTCAAGGGGTGTACAGTCTAAGGTTGTTGTAACTCACATTCATGCATACACATACTAGGGCCAATTTAGACAGGAGCCAATTCACCTGCCGGCATGTCTTTGGAGTGTGGAAGGAAACTGGTGTACCCGGAGGAAACCCACACAGGCACAGGGAGAACATGCAAATTCCAGGCAGGTGGTGCCGTTGTTGGGATTTGAACCAATGACCCTAGTACCTCCAGGCGGAAGTGCTAAGACATGTAGCAGAATACATTTTGGCCAACATTTATGAAGAAACATTTTTTTTATTGGATATGTTGTATAGCAGAAAGTAAAAAATACTGCTTTTTTTTCAAAATTTTCAGTCTTTTCTCATTTATATAGCGAAAAATAAAAACATTCAGTGGTAATCAAATACCTCCAAAAGAAAGTTTTATTTGTGTGTGAAAAACAAATGATAGAAATGTTGTTTGGTTATGGTGTTGCATGACCACACAATTACTAGTTAAAGTAGTGCAGTGCTGAATAGCAAAAACATGGCCTGGTCTTGAAAGGGGGTAAAACCTTCCAATGTGGGTAATAAAGACACAGACTGCTCATAGTTGTCCTCAAAGCAATTAAAGAAAC